CGACTTTACTAGATGAATGATGTCATCACTGATCAAACAATGAGTTGCATCAAGCCATTGAAGGATTACGTGTTGTACAGTATGATGTGTCTACAGTGTATCAGTCAGTAGTTCAACAAGTTGACTGTTGTGTATATAAACTAAAAACTATTAACACTTTAACTGCTTGCTTCTAACATGCAATTTTTAAACTTTCTTGTATTTTTCCTGCCTCTGACTATTATCTGTACAATTTCTTTAAATATTGTAAGAGAACACGTGTCTCTGAATATACAGTACCTGTGTATATTAACACTGCTAAGGCTGCTCCCTATGTTTGGTTACTACGTTTTTCTGTTCAATAACTCCTCCCAGAGTCTTCTAAAATGGTACTGAAAATAAATGGAAGATGTGACTAAAAGCTGACCTCTCCCTTGGCTTCTTTGCTTGCTTTGACTTCTTTTTACTACATCTAACAGCACTAACAAACTTCTACCTTCACATGCCGCTGGTGCACTAATTGGGGATTTATGGTAATATCTCTGATTTTCACAGCATGACAAAGTAACATTTATTGGGTAAACTAGAAAATGAATAACGTGTTTGAATATGCATGGCGTGACTTTAAAATTTGAGTTTCAAATTAATATTTCTTTCAGTTGAGGCTGAAGAGTCATTATAATCTTTAGTTATAATATTTAACTTTAACCCACTTTTTAGCATTTGTAAGCAGTATATTAATTAACACACTAGGGTGTGGTTGAAAGCAGAAAAGAACATTTATTTTATGTGTTTATGAACGTATTTAACAATTATAACAGGTCCTAATAAGCATCCATAACTGGTGTAAAAAGAGTTTATAAATAATTGATAACACAGTTGAACTGCAATCATCTATAATGAAATATGATTACACACGAACAAATCTGCAGTGTGTTTTTAACTGTTTATACACAGTTTAAAACTCATGAAGACATGTCAAGCTTGAAGGTTTATTCTTGACCTGAGAAACAGTGTATAGTATATAAATATAGTATATTTATTGAATATGTAAAGAAAAGCATGCTTTTCTATGTCATACATGATAGTAAACTGAATATTTAAGGGGTTTAGACTGTTGGTCAAACAAAACAAGACATTTAACGGTGCGGTGAATTTTTAAGGGCATTTTTCACAATTTTCTGACATTTTATAGGCAAAACAATTAATTTATTAATCAAGAAATTAATCGTCAGTCTGCTTTTCTTGCAAACCTAAATAAGTTGCTATAGGTATCAGATAAATGTAGTGAATTAAAAAGTACAGTGTTTCCCCTCTGAAATTTAGTGGAGCGGCAGTATAAAGTTGCAAAAATGGAAATACTCAAGTAAAAGTACCTCAAAATTGTAGTAAAATACAGTGCAGTGGTATCTGGCTTTCCACTACTGTACACCTGTTACAGATGATCCACAGCAGGCATTATAGTTTACTACACTGTAATGTGTTATAGTGTGTTATAAACCATGCATTAATTGTTCATTTCTCTACTACTTATAAGGTCTATATGGGAAGTTAAAATAAAGTGTCACCAAGAAGCCATATCTACTATTAAGGCTTGTACTCAGTGATCTCTCTGCTTCCTTCTCTTTCTCACACATACGTAAACATGGAAAACCAGGAATGTGCATTCGCCTTTTTAATTAGCCAAGCCTGGGAGCTCTCATGGGACACAAAAGGGTTCAAATGCTTTTGTTACGCCTGTGGATTCAGCAGTTACCATGGCCACAAGAAAAGTAAAGGCTCAGAATTTGGGGAATTGAAAGAGCGAAGGTTGATGGTGCCTCCGCCTGTTTTCCCCCTTCCATTCATGAGGCTTTTTTCTTACCCAGGCCTCCTCTGCTTTCAGTTTGCCTCACTTGGCTTGTATTCATAACTTGAAGATATTTTGATCAGGTCTTAGTTAAAGTGCATCATTTTCATGCTACATTTCCTGTTGCTTTCTTCATCAGGAGATGCCACATACCTTGACATCTTCCGAGAATTTTCCCACATGGCATCCCACAACCCGGAGAAGCTGAAACGAAGGAGTGTGCACTTCCGACACTCCTTCAGGTAGTCCTCCTTCAAGTGTCGGGAGAGAAACAAAATCACATACTTGAAAAGTGCAACAGCCACTTTCCATACAAAGTCACAATTAGGGGTCACTTCAGTTCAACATCACAAGTGATCTTGAGCTTGAAATAGACATAGAGAAACCTAATAGAAATGGGATCATATTTTCACAATCATAAGTTACCCCGCCAGTGTTATTCCACAGAGAAATGAATAAAACCACCTTTAAAGTGGATTAAAGTGAAGAAATCATTGCAATTTTGAGAAGCTGTTGCTCGTCATTCAGTGTTTAGCTACATTATAGCTTCAAGAGTCTTGTGCTGTTCTTAGATCAACCTTTTATTTTGAAATGAGGATTTGCTGGTCTTTTCCTCTTAAATGCATTTATAAATAGAGCATTGCTTTTGTACATTGTTAGATGAAACTTTGGATAAAATACCAAGCACTTGTTTTTTTTTATTTTTCTTGTTTATTTTAATTTTAATTGTATAAATCATGTGTTTGCTACATCAGTTTCATTATTTAGATCAACATGTTTGATTCATTGAAGGACTTTCATCAGTACTTTACATAAATACATTTTTTTGAGTTTATGATGCATGCATTTTCTCACATTTATTGTACTTCATACTTAAAACTTGAATTCAGCTATGTTTTATGGATAAAGAGTCATGTCAACATTAGTAATCATCATCAACAATCCAACATCTTGAAGTTATTTCTTTTGTTGAGCAGTTAATTTTGTTATGAAATGTGTTTTTGTTTTGCAGCGACTATGCTGGTGTAGTCTATTTTTTGTTTAAATGTACTTTGCAAGCACCACTATGAAATGCAGTTTTTATGATACTGTATAGATGCTGTAGAAGCAAAAATGCTAATATATCTGAATGAACAGAAATACTGATGACTGATGGATGAAAATAAACATTGACTGTGTTTACACACGTGCAGCAAGAGATCTCTGTTGAGTCTGACTAACCTGTTGAAAGCAACCAGCCACATACATCTACAGCACAACATGTAGCTACAACAACACCGCCCTCTTGTGTTGAAATGTGAGAATGGTGAATTTAAAAAAAACTGTACTTTGGACTGTTGGATGAAAGTTGACATAAAGTCTTTGTGTTTTTACCAACATACATAAAGTTCATGCATAGACTTTCTGGTGGGAATGATTGTTGTGGAAAGACTCAAATACAAAAGAAGCCATGAGAAGTTAAAAAGGTTGAAAACATTTTAAAATCTAATTTAAAATTCGGCGGTTCAATCCCCGGTTCCTCCAGGCTGCATGTCGAAGTGTCATTGGGCAAGACACTGAACCCCGAATTGACCCTGGTGGCTATTCCACCGGTGTATGAATGTGTGTGTCTGTTTGAGCACTTAGGCTCAGTGTATGTGTGTGTATGGTGAATGTGATGTAGTGTAAAAAGCGCTTTGAGTGACTGGCAAAGACTAGAAAGGCTATACAAATACAGAGCATTTACATTTACTGCTGATATTGCCGTGCTCAGGATGATCTTAATTAAAACAACTGTTACTGAACAACTGTTACAGATGTTATTTTGTATTATTTTCTGGTAGGTGTGCATTACAGCTTGAGTTGTATCCAGTGGAGGAAGAAGTACCACAACCTCAGTGTAAACATACTCACAAGTATGCATTTAAACCATTTTTAAACCTTTACTTGAGTAAAGTAAAAGTAAAGCTGCAGAAAATGGCCCTAGTGATTGATGTACTATTATTATTATTATTATTATTATTTTATTTTTATATTTTTCATGTGCATGAGTGTGCATGTAGCATTTTACTGTAGCTGGTCAAGGTGGAGTTACAGTAGTTTTAACTACTTTATATAAGCTCCAGTTAGGAAGTTTAGTGCAGTGGTTCCCAACTTAGGGGTGGAGCCTTCTCTAAAGGGTCACAACAAAAATATGTGTGGTTGTGAGATGATTATTGGGGGAGGAGAGAAGAAAAAGTTCAGCTGGACAAATTTGCATTCATATCTTTGGACATTTCTCTAATGTTTGCAGTCTTTTGTGAAATGTTGGATGATTTTACTTCTTTGAGCGTCACACAGTTATTCAAATGAAACCATCTGAGAGGTTTAGAGGGGGAAACACATCTGAAACGTGGCAAAGGGGCCCAAACTAGATACAGCCTTTTTGTAAGGGCTCACAACAACAAAGTTGGGAATCACTGATTTAATCAATTTATTGTATATTATAAAATCTTAATATAAACATAAATAGTACTAATAATTACACCTGCTTAACAAATAAATGTAACGTTAGTGGAGTCACGAGTTGCTACAACTTTCCTTCTGAAATGTAGTTAAGTTAGAAGTTTTAAAGTAACTGTGTAAAGTATAACGTTAGTGTAAAGAAATACTGCAGTAAATTACAAGCACCCTACTTGAAGTTACTTGCTGGTTACTTCAGCTGCAGATATTATCGATTCTAATTTGTAAAAATATATATACGGTGGTGCAACATACTGAAACCATGAAGACGATGTTTGGCTCCATCACTGCGGTTCTCTGTATTCATCCATGGCGACCAACGATCAGCGGCGCCGTTGACGTCTGTCACGTCCGGTCACGTCTCGACTTTACGTCGGCAGGGTAGGAAGTACGCCGAGCAGACAGTCCGTGATGATCTGGTGATGATGGAGCTCTGTCGAGGCGACAGTGCTCGTTATGATGATATCTGACACTTCCAGTCACATTATGCATATTTCGTTAGCTTGAAACGCGATGTGACTGCGGATTCGAGTCAGACATGACTCGGATGCTTGTGGCCAGCTAGCTAGCTGTTAGCTTAGCCCTCATCCATCCTGCTACGGTGAGAGAGCTCCAGCGGGCAGCTAGCAGCTGAGCTGATCCGCCGCTGCAGCACCACACAGAGCCCGGCGAGAGGATGGGGAGGCCTTAAATGACAGATCGGCGACGGTGTGTTCAGTCATCAAATTCAGGTATTGTCATTCATGATTAGGTAACGCTAAGGTACTGTCAGACAGCAGCTACATTTATCGCAATGGCGTGCACAGACCCTTGAAGGGGCAGGGGCCAAAACCCCAAACCCTGACCCCAGTGTGTGATCTAGGTGGGGCATAGTTAGCATAGGTAGACAGGGCTGGTGGGAGCACACATATCAATAAAATGTCACAAGTTGATTATGTTGTCTGATAAGTCTGGTGGTATTATATTCTTTTATTATCATTAGTCTAGAGCTGGAACAACTAAGTTAGTTGATTAAACAATTAATGGACGAGTTGATTATAGAAAAATTTATTGGCAACTATTTTGATAATCAGTTGTTTCCGTCTTTACAAAACATCCATTCTGTGTGAGGAGTTTCTGTTTTTCTCTTTCCTATCGTTGTAAACTTATATATTTTGGTTTGTTGGTGAGACAAATCAAGCAGTGAGATGTCACAATGGTGGGTGTTTTTTCACTATGTTCTGATGTTTTAGATCAAAAGATTAATTGTAAAAATGTGATGAATCTTTAGTTGCAGCTCTCTGTCAGTCCATACCTTATTCCTCTGTGCCATGGACGGCCTTTGTTGACAGGAAAGTATTTTTTAAAAGCTTCAATGGCCCACATTGTTGCACTAGGTGAAATTTCCTTCATGATAATAAACGTGGGCACTGTAGTTTATTTTGATACAATCGCACACACACCGACCTACTGCTGTAAATACTCACCAGATCAGTGATTCCCAACTCCAACCACAGAGTATTTCTGAAGTTGTCAGGGGGTACATGGAAAGATTGTGGGATAGCTCTACTAATTTGACAAAATAGAAGTGATAAATACTACAGTGCCTAGCGCATATTTATATATTATTAATTTGGAAGTCTTTTAAAGATTTACATCTTAGGTAGGGTATTGGGAACTGGTACTGGTTTGGCTCAAAAGTTTGGCTTAGCAGCGAAATGCAACTCCTATATTTCCTGAGATTTTGGGCAAGGGAGGAGCACCTCTAACATGACGAAGCATCTACTACAGTGTGAATCTGAAGGAATACACCATTTTCAATGTGCTGCGGTCTCCCAGCTACGAAAACGCCCCAGAAACAGCTAATGCTAACAGTAGCAACATTTTACGCTCCGGTACAAAAACACAGCTGACATTCACTTTTTATACTGAAAGTAAACGATTGATGTCTACAAATTATTCCAATATATATTTTTCTTAGATGCTAGTCTGCAGAGACAACCCTATAGTACAGAAACTCCTTTCACTTTAACTATGAAGGGGAAGATGAGCAAGGAGAAAGTGGATGAATGTCACAGAACAGTGAAGAACCGAGATTCGATAAGAACCGGATTTGATAAGTAGAATCAGAATCAGAATCGATAAAATTGAAACGATACTAAACCCTATTTACATCCTTAAAAGGAACGAAATGGCTTAGGACTGAGATCCACACACAGGCTAGAGAAGTAAATATACTGAGAGATCGACTAACACATTGTTGGTTTTAGTCTTTTAATGGAATTTGTAATACCATAATACCAAAATACAGAATATTGCCAGTGTAATCCTTTATTATTGTAATCTGCAGCAATCTAGGCTAAACGGAACTTCTTCAGCCATGTAATGATTATTTAATTTGAAAGCCGTGAGGGGGAAGAAACTTTTTTTCATATAATTTTTATTATCGTTTCATCTGCAGATCATTTTTTTTAATTAATCAATTAAACTTCTGGTCTATAGAACATCAGAAAACAGTCAAAAATCACAATTTTGTACTACCTAAGGTTGTCGTCATCAAATCACTTGTGTTGTCAGTCGAAAACCTAAAAATATTCAGTTTACTTTACTGTTTTTGCTTAAAAATTACCTAAACGATGGTTGACTAATCAGTTCATCGACTAATCGATGCAGGTCTAGATCCAGTTTTCTATCATCAGTAATGACAAACTCTTAATTCCACGTGTGTCAACGTCTTAGATGTCCTATTGACGGTTGCTGCTGCTGTTTAATCTCATCCACAGACATGGCGTCGCAGCTCCAGGTGTTCTCCTCTCCCTCTGTGTCCTCCAGTGCCTACTCTCGTTCAAAGAGGCTCAAAGTGGAGAACCCTACATGGGATGTGTCCAACCAGCTAGGAGATAATGGTTACTACCAGCAGAGCCCCACCCAGGGAACTGCACCCTCCACTTCTGGCTCCAACTTCAACCCAGTGTACAACTCCAACCAGGTGCAACCGCCGACAGCCGGCTCCCGGGAGCAGACAGTGGTGCGGGCAGCAGACAGCACAGGTAGCCTTCGTGGACCTCCCTCCTCCTCTTCGTCCTCCTCTTCCAGCCGTCGTGTGAAGGATGCCGAGTCCTCCTCCCAGCCGTGCGACCTGTATCACAAGCAGTACAGCTTGAAGCGGAAGAGCGAGGAGGTGGACAGCAGCGACAGCGTCCAGATACTGGAGGAGCTCTCAGCGCCTGTGGTCTCAAACCGCACTGGTGGTGGAGGGGGAACCACCACAGCTCAGTCCATAGCACATTCCACTTCTACCACAAAGAGCAGCAACTCCCACAGCGAGGGCGACTACCAGCTGGTCCAGCATGAGATTCTGTGCTCGATGTCCAACAGCTACGAGGTTCTCGAGTTCCTGGGACGCGGCACCTTTGGCCAGGTGGCAAAATGCTGGAAGCGGGGCACAAACGAGATTGTGGCAATTAAAATCTTGAAGAACCATCCTTCTTATGCTCGGCAAGGTCAAATTGAAGTGAGTGTGTTGTGTTAAAAAGAATAAAAACTCCAGGGATGACATATTCCTTTATAACAGTAAACTTGGGCAGCGTAGTTTATTTTGACACAATCCCACATACACCACTCAATTATTCTTTAACCCTTAGCATCCAATTCCCATATTAACATCCATTAAACTGTAATTGTTTGGACATCCATAGGTGCAGTGCTAATTCAGCATGACGACTAATGGTGCAAATCTGACAAAATGTAAACAAACATAAGGCACAAAAAAGATCATGCCACATTCATGTCTTGTAGGAAGGATGGTAGAGATGGGAAAGATTGCCATGCTGTGATTTCAGAGTTGGTCTTGTGAGGATTAAAATACTGTACACTGACAAAATAACAACATTACATTGAAAATTGATGGTCTTTGGTTGTTTGGAGGCGTCCATATTTGTTTTCGTTTTTGCACTTCAGTATTAGTGTCATGTCAGATATATCTGAGCTTTCAGAAACATTTTGCCAGTTTTAATTACAACTTGGAACTTGACATTGCTCTCTAAATATCAGAATCTGCCATTGAAAAACCGACATCGGTCGACAGAACACAATTACACCAAATAGAAGTTGACAAAAACAATAGGATTGACACACATTAGTACTTTCATCAACTCTGGTTGTTTTTAAATGTGCTTTATAAATAATCTTGACTTGACAAAATCCATGAACTTTTCTCGTTTTGCATTGTAAGTACTTGTTTTAATACAGTACCAAGGTTTAGTATGCCAGCATGGCTGTTATATTCCCTGAGCACTGACACTCTCCTCTGTCCCTTCTGTCCAAACCTGTGGACATACAGGCAAAAAAACTCAAATCTATTTGATTTTAGCTGAGTGAAAAAAACAAAGGGTCTTCAGTATTATCCATTAATGAATATCATAATATCTTCGTCTTCCTCTCCCTCCTCCCTACAGGTGAGCATCCTTAGCAGGCTGAGCACAGAGAACGCCGATGAGTTCAACTTTGTCCGCTCATACGAGTGTTTCCAGCACAAGAACCACACGTGCCTTGTGTTTGAGATGCTGGAGCAGAACCTTTACGACTTCCTGAAGCACAGCAAGTTCAGCCCGCTGCTGCTCAAGTGTATACGACCTATTCTGCAGCAGGTCGCCACAGCACTGATGAAGCTGAAAAGCCTGGGACTGATCCACGCCGACCTGAAGCCTGAAAACATCATGTTAGTAGATCCTCTGAGGCAGCCGTACCGAGTGAAAGTCATTGATTTCGGCTCTGCCAGCCACGTGTCCAAAGCAGTTTGCTCCACCTATCTGCAGTCACGGTACTACAGGTGAGTACGTTAGCCTGGACTGTACAGAAAAGACTTTGGATAATGACATCGTTGTGTTTGTAACATGAAAATTACCTGCTGTGTGATCTTGTAATTTGGCAATTGTGATGTGCTTGCAGAGCTCCGGAGATCATTCTGGGACTTCCTTTCTGTGAAGCGATCGACATGTGGTCTTTGGGATGTGTCATTGCTGAGCTGTTCTTGGGATGGCCCCTTTATCCTGGTGCCTCAGAGTATGACCAGGTCAGCTGCACCACTGTCATATATATACTTATATACATACTCTGAAGTGACTCTTATTTTCTTTCTCAATAGGAAACGTTAATAAATCATTATACATTTAAACATATCACAAATATTTTTTTAAATGGAATAGTTTGACATTTTTGGGAACATGCTTAATTGCTCGTTTTCCAAAAGTTGGATGAGAAGATTGATACTTCTCTCATACCTGTCCCTTCCATATCTTCTTTTTCTGTGAATTTTTCTTTATTTTGCTAAATTCTTTTGTTTGATGTTATAATAAGCCATGTTAGGCCTCACATATTTCTTGACAGGTTGCGGTGACTTTCTGGAGTCTCTGTTGATTGGGCCTGGCTAGCTATTGCCCCGTTTCCAGTCATTATGCTAAGTTAAGCTAATGGGCTGCTGGCTGTAGCTTCATACTGAACAAACTAAAAAGAGAGTGGTATCAACCTTCTCATCTAACTCTCGGCAGGAAAGCGAATAAGCACATTTTCCAAAATGTTGAACTATTCCTTTAAATGGTGTTTTAGCACTTACTCTGTGAGTTCAGCGTGACAGTTTAGCTAAAATAATGACCTTTCACATTGTTTGCGTATCAATTTTGTATGCTTTTCACGTGGATTTAATGTGTAAATCAACAAGACCACATTCAGAGGCTGACAAAACCAGCCCTCAGGTGGTGTTAACTGTATAAACTACCAATATAGGTCACATGGTTTACATTTGTCTCAATCTAGCTGCTGACTTCTCTTATTTTTCTTCCAATTTTCTCTCTCAGATTCGTTACATTTCACAGACCCAGGGACTTCCAGCAGAGTACCTGCTGAGTGCAGGAACCAAGACCAGCCGTTTTTTCAACAGAGGCCCTGACTCGAGCTACCCCCTCTGGAGACTCAAAGTGAGTGACTCCGCAGTGACCGCACATCATTTCTGAGCCGTTCTGTCATAAGCAAATGTACAGTACATTTACTGAAGTCTTGTTGTGTTTTCTTTTTCTGCAGACACCTGCAGAGCATGAGGCGGAGATGGGCATCAAGTCAAAGGAGGCAAGAAAATACATCTTCAACTGTCTAGATGATATGATGCAGGTGAGGAATGAGCTGTTTAATTTCAGATCCTGCAGGTGACATTAATGTTGTGGCTTAACCCCACCCCGCCTCCTATGCACAGTACTTTCAATACTAACCACCTGGACCTTTCACACATTGGAGTTTGACGAACTTCCTGTTCCCCTCTGCAGGTGAACATGACGAATCTGGAGGGGACTGACATCTTGGCAGAGAAGGCAGACAGGCGGGAGTTCATAGACCTGCTAAAGAAGATGTTGACACTAGATGCGGACAAAAGGATCACGCCCATGAAGACACTGAACCACCCCTTTGTTACCATGACTCACCTGCTGCACTTCCCTCACAGCTCACAGTAAGCCAACAAGTTCAGGATTGTTCTGATGCTCAGCTGTAGAGGTTTTCAAAGATGATCAGTAGAGGTGTTACATTTATGTTTTTGTAGTTATGATCAGTTGAAATGAATACTGTGGTTTAGCATTGCACGCTAGTGCCCAGGATTCCACCTGTGCGCCTGTTTGATATTTTTTACTTTTTTGTAGTGTGAAGTCCTGCTTCCAAAATATGGATATATGCAAACGCAGATGCAGCGCCTTTGAGAACGGAAAAAATATGTTTGCTAGCAACAATACCCCAAGTGCAGCCACCAACCTCACTGTCACCTTCAGTAGCCAACTAAACCAGCACAATCAGGTGAGAACTTTTGCTCTAATCTGCTTCAGGGTCATTTTGTTTTTTATAACATTATTCTTGTTGATTCAGTTTTTACTTGGCAGGTTATGTCAGTTGCTTTATAAAGTTATGTCTCTGGGGCCTCATTTATCAACCGTGTGTACGCTGACACCATGTGCATGCTCTTTTCTACGCATAGAATCTGATTTCTTCTTGTGCTAGAGTGTGAGTTCCTGAACACGTGAATTTCCATTTTTATTTGAACTACAAGGTAAAAATGTATTTCAATTATTGCCTCTATTTTGGCTTGTCTCTAGTACTGCACCACTGAGCACTTGTGGCTGCATATGAAAGACACAGAGCTATTAGTGACATTCAATTGGATTAATCTGTATTACTTATGAAGTATTATGCTTTAGTACCTTTCATTTTGATTGATTTAACTAAACTGCATATATGTTTTTTTATGCTAAAAGTGCAACAATTAAAAAACAAATTAAAACAAATCTGTAATTGCAATAAAGTGGTACTACAGTTGACCATCACGTCAATTGAAATTATCTTCCCCCGTTCTGTATCTTATTTATCTTTGTACAAGCCACTTATGGAAATTTCAAATTTTAACAGTTTTGTTTAGTGAAATTTATTGTGAAAATATTACTGTAGTGATCTTGTTGTTTATAGATAATAAGCGCAACGTTACTTCAATGCATTTGACGAATCGTGCATACCGCAGCGCTCGCAGTCTAACTACATTTGTTCATAATAACTAATTATATAACAACAAATGTAGTGTGGAAATAGTGGGATACAAAATAAAACCATTGACAATGCAGCAACAAATATTAGACTTTTGTCCATAAGTTTGGCGTAAGATTGTGAAACTTTCCCAGACGCCTGCTCTTGGGTACAGTGTCTTAACCTTGTTGTCTGTGATGTTTTTTTGTCTCAGTCTTTCTTGGCTGCTACTTTTTTCCATGAAAACCTTCTTTGGTATTCAGGGGGCATTTCTGTGTGTCTGTCCACATGCAGGTGCAGCTGGATGTAGAACAGATGAGATTTATCATTGCTCATTGCATGAAGTTACCTGTGCATGTTTGATAAATACCAATTTTCTGGTTTGTACTGACAGTTCTTATGCACATATTTATAACTTAATCTACGGATGCTTTGTTGAATGAGGCCCCATGACTTTCTTGCTGAGCACAACTCATTCTTTCAGGCATTGAATACAGTATTTTCTGCATGCTGTGTCTTATAGATGGCCTCTGCAGGAGGCCAGTCCCTGTCCCTAAGCAGTAATGTCCCATTGCTGAACTACCAGCCTGGCCTCTACCAGCAGGCCACCATAAACATCCCTGGCTTAACCCAGCAGGGTGTACCCCTGCAGACCAGACCCACCCAGCTCTGCACCCAGACTGAGCCCTTCCAGCAAACACTCATAGTTTGCCCCCCCACCATCCAGGGTGAGAATGCAAGATGTTAGTGTCTATTGTCTGAAATTACCAGTTGTTCTCCAACCTGCAACAAAGGAAAGAAACATTTTACTGATATTTTACAGATAACTTTATAATCCATAAATGTCTATATCTATATTGTACATTTAGTATTTTGTATAGTATTATGTAATTGATTTTTAAATAATATAATATGCCTCCACCTTTTCCTAATAGGTCTTCAAACATCCAATAAGACCTCTGGTTATCCAGTGAGAATGGACAACTCAGTACCCTTAGTTCCTCAGAACCAGTCATCCCAGTCCCTTCACATCCAGCCCAGCATGCTGGCACAGGTAGGACCCCGCCGCTTCACCACTAGGGTTGGGCTTCAATGGATTTTATTGAATCTGATTCCAGGATTGAAACCACTCATTAAAATGATCAGCATCAGCAGTGGTGAATTGCAACCAAGTAAATTATATTTGTAATATTTAGTAAAGTACAATTTTGTGGTACTGGTATTTGTGTATTTCCATTTCCACTACATTTATCTGAAAGTTGTACCTACCTGTTACTTTACATATTAGTATTTTAAATAAACACTTGTTAAATACACTGTATTATTAAAGATTAAACCAGTGGTTCTCAACATTTTTGGTTTGGAACCAGTTATAGCCGTGTCTAGTTGGGGCCCTTTGTTAAGTTGCAGATTTAGTTATTTAGGAATTAAATAGAAAATAAAAACAAGATCAAACAGGACAGTAAAAGTTACAGTGCATGTAAGATATTAATCAAAAGTAAGAGGCAGCAGCAAAAACAAAATTCTTCCAGATTTATAGTGTATAAAAACTGAATGCTGCTTCTCCATGTCCAAAACCCAGATGACCTGAGAGATCTGGATGGTTCATAACATAGCAGAACATTAGAAATGTATATTGGCCCTGAAACATTCAGTTCTTTATAAACCAACAGTAATATTTTAAAATAAATTCTTTGTCAGACAGGAAAAGACCTCAGAACTGGAGTGATGTCATCCACCCTTGGTCTTAGTAAGGTTTCGAGTAGCAGCGTTCTGAATCAGCTGCAGCTGGCAGATTTTTTTGGGAGACCTGTAAAAAAAAAAGTCAGTCAAGTTGACTGAAGATAAGACAAAGGGACATTTTCCATCTGAACTTCTAAAATGGTTCTAAAGTCCAAAATATGAATACCAGTTTGTTTAGAAGAACTTGAATCACCTCATGACCCCTCATATTTATGGTGATTTGTCAGGTAAACCAGTGGAAAATGAAAAGCTGCTATCAGAACGTTTTGCGCATTGCTAATAAAAAAGACCAGAGAGAGAGATAAAAAGGTTTCAACCTCAATATTGATGACCCTCTGCAGCTGTGCTTTGGTTTGTGTACATGTTGTTGATGTTTGTTTGTTGTTTTATGCCAAAAACATGCTCTCCTTTCCCCTCTCTTCACAAATCTAAAGATCTCAATGATTCTGAAAATCAGTATTCTTGTTCTGGTCAGAAAACTCAAGTAACCTTTTTTTTTTAGGATTGAGTAACATAAAGCAGGTCTATTCCAAATGTTCCCTAAGTCTGTTTGGATATCTGAACACCTCCACTCCTTTCACCCTCCCCTGACACCTCCTCCCAGGCCTCCCTTCTGGTAAGCAGCTTGTACACCTCGGTGGCTGCAATGCCGCCTATGGGCTCTGTCCGGCGGCCAGTTTGCTGCAGGGGTGAAAGCCTATGTGGCTTGCAGTATCAGAACGTCTCCATGCTGGTAAAACTTCATCATCAAAACTGCCACCTTGGTTGAAATCTCTTCTTTCTTCGTTTGGTTTGTACTTTTACTCGCAGCTTTGTGGGCCAGATGCATAAAACTCTGAAGATTCACAACTAAAGCAGACAGAAACATGCAGACGCATACTTTGTCTGATTTGTAAGGCACATTCACCAAGTACACTTGGTCCTATTTTTATGAATCTCACATCCACTTCCCCCCACCCATTAATTAATGTAGAAACGCACTTAACATCAGTTTTCATAACGATACTTGTGCCTGCTCCACCACTAATTAGATCTGTCAATGAAAAGAAGAGTAATTAAACTGATTGTGTCACATCATTAGAAGGCCGTCAGGGAAATAATGGCTCAGATGTAATAAAAGTAATGATAAAACTCCTCATTCATAAGTTAAGTTTATAAATGTGCCTTAGAACACTTTGTAGACTGCAAAAATAAAAACAGTGAAATTGGCAAACACCCTCACTTTATAATTAATCTCATCATATCACCTGCTGCTATCTCAGCAAAAACTGTGTGCGCGCCTGATCTGTATTATGCATGAGGCTCATTATTCTTTTTATGAATATGGGATATGGTGTGTTGGCACCCCTTAGTGTCCCCTTTTTTCCCTCCCTAGGTGTTAAAACAAAAACATGTTCAATGCAAGTTCATTTTGGCTGTTACTGATGCTAATACTGTTTAGTTTACTCATATTTGACTAAAATACGTGATGCAGTGTCTAAATAACACTGTTTTATAAATTAATTTATACATAATTCCTTATATTTAATAGACAGACCATTAAAGAGAGTGGTATCAATCTTCTCATCCAACCCTCCAGCGCATAGGCATATTTCCCAAAATATCAGAATTCCTTTAAAAGCTTATTTGCCAAATGCTGACTTCCACACTGTAACCCCTAGTGACACAATTTTGTAAATATCAAAAATCAGAAGATTTTAGAAATTCAAGTTAAATAATCGGTCCAAAAGGATCATGAGTGTCACATATCCACTACGTGTAGAGCTTGTGCGCCTCCTTGTGGTAGATTCAAAAAAGACACCGGCAGACAGCAATTCACACTGCTCCTTTTCAACGCTTTAGACATGTCTGCTAATATGTTTTTATAACAAAATTTCAGGAGTCGTCGCTATCGCAGTGAGATCAGTGCTGATAACTTCGGTCATTTCCTTTTTCCAATATAACACATTCCTTTCAGTGTCAGGTTGGCTGACTGGTTTCTGACCCTCTCTGAAATGTGAAATGTTGTGTTTTACATGTCTTTTTATGAAGCTTTGGTTGGTATTTACTCTCCTTTAGCACATGTCCTTCTGAGCAGTAACACATACACAGGAATACGTCTGGAAACCAGTTGCAGATGGTGGCCATGCTCCGTCATCTGGAGTTTGGTTCAGCTGTCAGTATGTCAGGGCTTAATTTTAATGCGACATCTGCTGGATGGAAAATAATCCCTGGCACCTATTCTACTATGGTCAATAGACTGCTATGTCTCTACTGAAGTTTCTGAAGGACACTTTTAACGTGTTTATGTATGTGTGTGTGCATACAGCAAGGTTGGCCAGCAGGCACACAGCAGATCCTCATCCCTTCCACGTGGCAGCAGATGCCAGGCATGGCCATCCACAACCCTGGGCAGGCTGTAGTGCCCGACTCACCCGTGGGAGCCTCTGTCTCCGACAGTCAAGCCTCTGGCTGGAGGTGAGTAACAGGACTCTTCTTTTCATTTACATTTAAAACCAAAGCTTCATTATAATTCTGGAATGTAATAGAAAGTTTAGTAAATGTAGTCATACAGAAGTGATGCGGTTTAAATAAGCAAGTTACATTGGTTTGTCCTTTTCATAGGGGTCGTCATGGAAGCCAGTATGATGGCGTCAGCCAGCAGGACTCTGGTGTTGGCCGTCACGCTGCCTCCCAAAGCCACAACTCGGGGGCAGCACAGTCAAGAGCCCAACAGGGCAAGAGGTCAAAGGCTCGACATGCTGAGAGCAGAGCCAGGTATCCTGTCAGACAGTCACATTATTATTAACATGTTGTTGGGGGGCCGGTCGTACTTAGTTGAGTTGGTTATTTCATCCCTGGTTTCTCCACGCACCTCCAAGACAGTAGGCCTGCAGCGATTTTCATTAAACCATTAATCTTCTGTCAGTAAATAGTGAAAAATACTATTACTTACAGTCATACAGTCTGTTATTGGTTATTTGAAAGAAGTACATGCTATAAAGAAAACAAATAGCTGGCAGGCTACTTTTGTTTCCATTTCTCAGCACGAAGACGTATCAATTTTTAAAATATTGAAAGAGATTTATTATTTGCAATAAAGGCAGTGATGGAGCATCTCTCCCCCTTCCAGGCCTGTATCGTCAGTGCTGTCTGCCACCACTGTGGTCCAAAACACTCCAGCTTTTGCTGGTGACCAGTCTCAACCCATCATCATCTCTGACACACCTAGTCCTGCTGTCAGCATCATCACCATCCACAGCGACTCTGAAGATGAGGATGACAGGAAGTTCCCTGCATCCTGGTGAGCTCATTTGCTGTCTCTAGAATTTGCATTTTCACACTTTGAGTGACATTGAGGTCTTATTCTGCTGAAATTGTGATTGGCTCTTATTTTCTCTTGCAGCTCTGGAACTAGCCAAAGGACCAACGTGATCAGCTGTGTGACGGTACATGACTCCCATGACTCTGACTCCTCCACCAGCAGCCCCCTGAGCCCCAAGACCACATCACAGCCCACCAAGTCTCTGGCCATCATAATGCCCTCTGTGAAGAGCCAGCCAGGGGAGAGCACAACCCATAAGGCTCCAGCAGCTTCAGGTCCTCGAACCACACTGAATCCACATTTAATTCGATCCAGCCATGTATATTAATCTCTAGTCTTTAAATATATTAAGTGGATCCAGCACTCAGTTTGACAGGTTAAACTGAAATGACACAAATCCATTTTTCTTCAAGCTGCTGTCTCTTCTTAGTGCTCACAGTTTACTGTCTGGTTTTGCACTGGTAGATCAAGCTACAAGTGGCTCTGGAAAGTCAAAGAAGAGTTCAACTCAGCAGTCCAGTCGCCCAGGAGATCCCAACACTGATCGCAATCAACGGGCTGCATCTAGCAGATCTCAGCCTCTTAACCTGAGTCAGGTAACATATTTCCAATAGAGCTAATGTCTGCTCCCAAGGTGAATCCATAGAGAGTCTGGTTCTGTCCCAATACTCGACTTGTATAATATATTTCCAAATATTGCCACAGCACCGAAGTGCCCATTAAGACTGCAAGTGTGTCAAGTTGAGCTCAGGCGCTTTATTGGTAAAAAAACAAATAAAAAACTAGGATTTTTATTACAAGTCTCATTAAAGAATAAACATTTTGCATATTAGATCATTTAACTATTGACTGTTATGATTTCTGCCATACTTGCCTACTCTTAACAGCCAACCATTTCCATAATTTTCAAAGGTCATAGAGTACAGCACAGCGCTGCTCTCTTGGTTTTATTTTGATTAGCCAGCGCCTTTCTGACTGTCAAACAGAGAACCATTATTTGGTATGCTTACATTAGCTAGACAACCTCCTGGAGTGGTATTCAGAGCCAAGTATATCTCACCATTCACAATGGTCTACTGCGCCAACAGTCCAGTTATTGGCGGTAGTGCACATATAGGCTGGTTTTAGGACCGACAGACATGAAGTTTAAGTTTGTGACATGTTGGATTCCTCATGAATATTATTAATCATGTGCAAACACTACAGGGTTATGTCAAAATATCCAATGATGGTAAATGTGTCCCACTGAGCTCTGATAACCTTCTACACACTTGGAGTCTTAACGAAATACGTTACAGTCTGTATAATAGAGGATGACATAGCCTCCGGGTCTGTAAAGTGAAGCGAATGCGAAGTGCCTGAAACCTGCAGTCTTTCTAATGTCCAGCAGGGGTCGACTCCACTGGTTGCAAAAAGTCAGATTGCAGACATCTATGACAAAATTAACTTACTTCTTAGTTGATTCATTAGCTTGGTAAACACTGAGGTATGTTCTCAGTCGCTAGTTTCAAGTCTTCTTCAATACAGCATGATGTTCATTTAGTAAATTATGCCATTAAAGGGGAAAATAGACAACGCAGGGTATGCTTGAGGGCATGGCCGCCTTGTGGTTGATAAGTCGCTACCACCGCAACACAACACAAATCGCAGTGTGTATTCAGGTCATGAAAGTTTTAAACATTTTAGTCACGTAAAAAATGGCTTGTTTAGCTTTCGGTTGTACTAAAAGACACTCTAGCCAGCTGTTCATTTTTTCCAGTAAGTAATTTGGTTTTATGCATAAACTGTATATAAGAAGTGGACGTAGTCATCGTGACGTCACCTGCTGTTTTGTGGACTGCCGTTTTAAAGCCTCGAGTTTGGCCAATGGGGCGCTGCCATATTGATTTTTTGCAACCAGCGGCACCAGACGTGACTATATTTGGACGAGACGATGGAGCTAACGGTCGTTTGTGGAGCTAGCTAGCTTGCTGAGCTAGGTGCATCTGGAATTCACGTTAATGTAATTTTAACAGGGTTGACAATTTTGTCTAGCGAACAAGAGTCTTCAAACTAAATGTACTCACCAGAGAAAGTGAACAGCCAACTCTTAATACGCTTTTTCAACGGCGCTGGTTACATTTACACAGTGCCGTGGTTGGGAGTCACTCAAGCCTGATTGACAGGTCGACATGGTAACGGCTTGTCAATCATAGATAATCCTGCCCTGAAGCGTACTCTGTTTTATGGTCTATTTTCCTCTAAATGGGACCATAATTTACTAAATGAACATCATGTTGTATTAGAGAAGACTTGAAACTAGAGATTAAGACCATAAACCCATCAGGAAAGTGATTACTGAGGTAATAAATCAGGTGAGAAATAGGGTCATTTTACCATTATTTCTTATGGAACCAAACTTTTTTCAACCAGAAGATTCGCCCCCTGCTGGCCGTTCGATAGAATGCAGGTTTAAGGGACTTGCGCGTTCGCCTCATGTCTCTGACCGAAACCTTTCCGCTTGGTTTTAAGCATGTTTCTTGCTAGAATCCCACATAAATTCACAGTTAAGTGAATTACAGATGCACCTTGCTAACCAGGCTTGCTAGTGCTAGCTGATAACTTGGCGTGTTCAGATTGTCAGTCAGATCCAACACTTGCTCCTACCCAGCTACAGCCTCTCGTCCAAATATGGTCACTTCTGGCTCCAGACAAAACAAGATGGTGACAACCTAAATGCCAAACTCAAGGCTCTTTGAACGGTAGTGCACAAACCATTGGGTGACATCATGGTGGCTACGTCAATAATTTTATGCTATTCACAAATACTGCAAGAGTATTGTGATGAACCCTGATTTTGTAGAGGCCAATGTTCTGTTTCAGGTACAGCAGTCTGTGCTGTCATCATCCCAGGACCAAACAGGAAGTAGTAGTTCCCTGAGGCGGCAGCCCACATACCCACCTCCCGTCACCTCTCACTCATCCTACAATGCCATCTTCAGCTCAACCCCAAACCTGTACGCTTACCCGGCATCTGCTGCCCTGGCCTCTGTGTCCCAAGCTGTCGACCAGATGCAAGGTGGCTCGTCCCGCCACAGCAGGGCGAGCGGCACTTACTCTTCCCTGGCACTGCTCCAGAAGAACGGCAGCCTGGCACTGGGAGGGCCTGCTCCGGGACAATATGGCAACCACCCCCAACAACAGCAGCAGCAGCAGCAGCTGGGAGGGCAGCCTTTCCACCACTCCAGTGCTACCTACCAGCGAAAACTCAACCAGTATCCCTACCTGTAAAGACCGATGGCTGATTGAGACTGTAGCTCTGCATGAAGCCCAAATGGAGACCGAAACTAGAGGGGAGCACAAGCTCATCACAGGTGGCTGTGATTACATTCGTTTTCAACTCAACTTTTAACTTTCCTTTACTGTCCAATCCATATTTCATAATAATCAGAGAAACAGAATGTGTTTATATTTTAATCATGGTCCATTTTTTTTTTTTTTTTATAAATTCCAACTTTGGGGGTGGTTGCATTACATATGGTATGTAAACGACAACAAACAGTGCAGTCTGTAAGTATCTAAACAGTAACATTTCTGTTGGCACTGTACTACACATTGTAAAATTAAATAATAAGTATGAGGTTAAAGTGCCAACTTTCACCTTTATTTTAGGGGGTTTACATCCATGTTAGTTCTGACTGATCGATCTTATTTTCATCATTATCAAGCGATCAATAAGAAAACTTTTTATTTGGGGACGGATTCCAAAATCAGGTATTAAAATGGTCCCAAGGGCTAAAGACAGTAGTATTTATCCTCTTTCCTGCTCTGTGTGAGGGGTGAGCTCCTACACACAGATTACTGTAAGTGCAATAAAACCTTCACAAAGTTAAAAAAGCCAATACTTCATCAATACTAGTAATAGCTTATAATATATAATATATAATTAATACTAATAGCTGTTTTAAGTCAGCAGTCTGTCATCCTCTGTCACTGGGTTTTACACGAGCACAGTGTGCTAGCTCAGCTTATATGGAATTGTTACTAAAACTAAGACGAAAGCTGACTGTAGTCTGTTTAGCAGAGTTCTCCCTGTGCGTTAAAATTTGATAAAGTCTTGTAAACCTAACTGCTGGCTGAGACAAACCAGCCCCTCCTGACAGGAGGAGTCACAGTAGCAAAGGACAGGAGGAAGGACTGATGTTTTTTTTTTTTTTTTTTCTTAACTTCACTCAGTATTTTGATGTCAGGAATGTGATTTATTTTACGGACTATATATATATATATATATATATATATATATATATATAGTTATATAGTTATATATATATATATATATAGTGACTTTGCCGTTGTAAACTTTACTTTTGCTGCTGTAGAAACATTGTTATATTTTAAATATTCAGTACTGTTCTGAAGTTAAAAGACAACTAGTCTGACATAGGAACTAATAAGTACACTTCAATATTTGTTTATTTATTGCAAGTCATATCACAATGACACAAGTCATAGCACAATATTGAACAATGTTATCGCACATTTTCCTCATTATGCAGGCCTAATCATCCAATGAAATCAGTAGAAATTGTAGCTCTTTTTATATGAAGTCCCCAAATAAAGTTACTTACAGACTGCGACTTCAAGTTGATGTTTAACAAAACCTCTTGTTTTTTTGAGAAATGTGTGAAACTGGATCTTGCTGCTTTCTATTATCATTAAAAATAATTGGTTAAAAGTTGCATTTACATATACGCAATCGCCTTACTCCTTTAGGCCAATGTCTTATTTATAAGAATATAAGTTAGATAAATATGTTGTATGTTTCATTTATGAATGTACTGTGTGTGTTATCTGTATTATGGGGGGGGGGGGGGGGGGGGGAGTAAGACATGTACTGTATAATGTGTCACTGTGTTGTACAAATGTTTTCCTATTTTGTTTTAGTACTGGCCATTGACTTGATTATATTTATATGTTCAGTATGTTGAATGATGCAGTACGTAAAGTAGAGTAGGGTGTGGTTTTTAGAGGGGACTGTCATGTTTTTTACAGTTTTAAAATTATTCTTAAGGTTGCATGTGTCTGACATGGAGTAGCATTCAAGACAGGTTTGTAAACTGCAGCTTCAACTGATTTTCAGTGTTGATTGCAGAAGGATTATTAATGTTATCTTTGATTTGTACAACAAACACTTTAATGATATTGGGAAATGTAAAAGCGCTTGTCTTGTGAAGTGATGTTTGTGAAGTAAAGCGTGCACATCAAATCTGATTGAGTATCACTATCATGTAAAAAGCCATTCAGATTGCAATTTTAAAATTCACAGTAATTTGTTTGAATTGTGAATAGTCAAATCCGACAAAGATGATAATTTTAATGAATTGATGTTTAGTATGTAATTGCTTCTAAACAAATCATTGGTTTGGTGAAATGATGGTTGTTCTTACAATCCTGCTGTGTTGTGAAGTGCTACATTACATAGAACACACAATGAACCTTAACCCGTATCTACGCAATAAAATCTTACCAAAACAGAATTTGGGACCAATTCATTATTGAAACTAAAGTGTTTTCAAATTAACCAATTCCACAATCTCATATACACTCGAATTACATCTAGAATACAGGAGTGTATTGATTCAACGTACTTCTGCACCTACTGACTATTATCAATTAATCTGTCAATTACTTTCTCAATTGGTCTAAAAAAAAATAAAAAATAAAAACCTCTACAAAATGTTTTTTTGGCATTTTTGCTAAAATTACTTTAATGCCAATACATTTTTGTCTATGGATTAATCAACTAATCTGCAAATGGTTGCAGCTGTAGATTTAGAGAATCAACAGTACTTGAAAGAACAGATGACGAAAGAGCTACTATAGACAGATGTGATAAATAAATATCAATGTGCATCACAATGAATGTAGCTTTAATACTATTGGATGGACTGTCATCAAACTTTGTACAAACATATTGTCCACAGTGGATTAATCATAATTGATTTGGGGATCCCACGACTTTTCCTCTAGTGCCAGCATGAAGTTGTTAGTAAAATGTCTCCACTTGGATAGGTTGCCATTAAATTTTGTACAATTAACATTAATGTTCCCATAATGACGACTTATATAGCTTTGATAATCCACCTGACCACCATCAGGTCAAATGTTTGTTTCAAATGTCTAATTCTTTGCTAATTAGCAAACGTTCGAATGCTAACACACTAAAGGGGGTGGAGCATGGTGAACATTAAAACCTGCTAAACATCACCATGTTTGTATCATCTTTGTAGGCATGCTGAAATTAGCATTTAGCTACAAACGCCGAAGTACAGCCACACACGGCCATATCTTGCCATGCTAAGATATCTGCCATAAATTGATCCGTTCTGACTTCTTAAATTTGAATATTTGCCAGTTTCCTTACACTTATGTGATAGTAAATTTAATATATTTGGGTTTTGGACTGTTTGTACATACAAAACAAGCAACTTGAGGTAATTTTTCACTTGATGTGAGTGATTGGTGACAAAAAGTAATCTTTACTTGCAGCCCTAAAAATTACTCAGCACTAATGAAATCCAGGTGCTATTTTCATTGATAAGAAATATTTATTGTTTACCAGTTTATTTGCAATATATTTTATAAAGCTGCGTCACATTCGGTTTTCATAAATCTTATTTTACAATCCACACAGGACCCGAAGACAGATGCTGGTTAGCAGGATCTGAACACACCACAGGTTCTTCAAAAACTTAACAAAATGGAGGAATGTAATGCTGTTGTTTGTCCATGCATGCAACAGATTTGACACGATGAAGAATGAACTATCCATCCTTTGTTAGCCAAGACAAGGAAACAAAGACCAGTCTCCTACTGTAAGAGCAGCTTGTTGTACAGCAATGAAGCAAAAATAAGTACACACCTCTGTGATGTTCAAAGATGCAGCTGATCCAAATTATATTGGTCAAATAAATAAATTCATCTGTATCCACCATACAAACAAGAGCATGAATTAAATTGTTTTTAGTCAAGAACAAAACAATAGGCCTTTACCGCAAGAGACCGTTTGACCTGACACACACAGGTGAAACTAATCGTGTTAATATCGTTAATGTTATCAGCGACACCTGTGCTTTCCCGTCAGCAAGTCAAAATGGCTGCTTTGAAATAGGCACATTCTTTCATTCAAGCACAATCTCTTTTTATTACTCCAACAATAAATTATTAATTAAAGTAGGATTACTGAACATTACTGAGGCAGTTTTTAAAAGTTATACTTCTATTTATTTTTACACAATCAATACCCTGTTTATAAGTAGAAGGACGGATACTATCTAATATGGAAACTAGTGGAAATGTACATCAATAATGACAAATCATCTTTTGAATTCAGATAAGTATTTTTGTGTGTCACCAATAAACTCTGTTTATAATATCTCTATAAAGGTTGTTCCTTTCAGCATCATTATATTAATTGTTTTCAGCTTGTCTCTCTGACAGAAGCACTGGTGCGTGAAAATGAATATTTACACTGTATACAGACTCGGCAGCTAAAAACAAGAGATCCTGCAGAACAAATAGCTCGCCTAGCTGTGCAGTCTCTCTCACCACTGCGCCAGGAATGGAAAATCTAGTCAGGGTTAAAATTCCTCATATACACACATTTCACAATATAACACAAATTTGGAGTTGGTGCTGCACCTCGAATTTACGTGAAAGCCCAACATTTAAAAGTTCATACAGTTCAATGGCACACAGAAGGCAGACCTTGTTAACATTGATAGCTGCCAGACAGACCGGGCTGAAGGGAGGATGTATTCATTTTAGACAGCGGTGAAAGAGGCTGTTGAGGCTAGGCTTTTAAACATAACATTGCACACTAGATCATCCTGTTATTGCACCCCCCCCCCCCAAAGGCTTGTCCCTGAAGCAGATTTAGGATGAGAGTGGGAAGGATGTATATTTCTTCAGAACTCCTCGTGAACATTTCTGGCGTAATCCATGAGCTTGCTGCCCGTGAAGTATTCGCTATACTTGAGAATCTCGTCCAGCTCCAAATTGTGATTCTGGTTTTCATCTGCAACGGCAATCATCTGCTTGGCCTCGTTCAGAGCGTTGTGCTCATTCATCGGGTCCATGTACTCCTGTACGTCACACAAGACGACAATAAAATATTTTAGTACAGTGGATACACAGTACTTCAGAAATACTGAATTGAAAACTTCAGACAAATCAAATATAAAGAATCAAGAGATATATACTGTAAAACTTTGCCGTGCATTTATACTTGTGCGTAGGTCTGTACGTCATTCTACAATTACACCCCCAAACGCTAGTCGGCAGTGGAGCCACAGCGTCCACTGTGTTGACTTTTGCCGGGCGAGCAGGCTAACTTCCGGTTTAGCCCTCCGCTAACAGGTATGGGGGTAAAATTGTATACGTGCTGCTGGTGTAGCTGTTTTAAATGTTAACATTCTGATAGTGAAACAAGTCATTTCGCTGGTTTGGCAGATAGTAATAGTTACTTCAAAACACGGGCACTTCCTGTCGGCTCAGAGGCATTGCAAGGCTACCCAGCCGACCAATCACAGAATTTACGGTCCGGGTCGCCTCGACGTGTAGTTACATTTTTGAGGAGGTGCACGTCAGGCTACGGCGTAGGTGACGGCGTAAGGTAGGGGGCTACGCAGAGGCTACGCCGTCGATTTGTCGCAGAAGTATAAATTGCACTTTATGCGCTTTTATTTTGAAGGCAGCAATGTAACGAAAACGACAACAGAGTACAGAATGTGAGAAGTGTGGCAGAAGTTAGTAGACAGAGAGCAATAGGCTTCACGACAGGATTCACAACTTGGATTGATTTTTATGAAAAGCTTTTCATTGGTGGACCCTTACAGACTAAAGGAATATAAATAAATCAAGGAAGGGACATATTCAGACTTAACGAGCGCTTCAAAGGTAACTGGAGTAGGGACTTTCTCCCCTTTTCATCTCTTGTACCATCAAGTTACACCGTAAATCGGTAGCAATTAGACTTTGGGGCTTGTTGTTTAATCTCGTTTTGTTAAATGAACAATTCAATTGTGGAGAATCTAACCGATCTAAGGATCTGTAGCATGTTCATACTGACATATTGATCATACGTTTAAACATTAATATTTGTATTAATGATCTCAGCAGCTTAGAAGCAGTTAAAGCTGGTGACCCTGCAGGGTTTGAGAGGTTATACATCCAAATAACTTATATAAAAACCAGACCAAGTGTTTAACTGTCAAAATGTGTTCCCAC